TGGAGTTTCGGCCTTAAGTAGCAACGAATTGAAGATAAATTTGACAAGGGTCAAAATTTCTGCAAACTAAACGGACTTAGATAAACCATCTTCAAACTATGTTACCCAAGTCCAAAGTTGCAGTGGAAAAAGCCGACGACCGAGATTTTAAGTTAAATACTGTTAAAACGCAACTGAATTTATATTACGAGAAGGCTCGCAGCTCAATAGACGTCAAAGTGAAGGCAGAGTGCGACTTGAATGATTTTGATTTGAAGCATAAGATATATGAGTGACAAACGAAACAACCAGATTGCAAAACAGCAAAGAAGCACGATTATATGAGTTCGAAAATGACCAAGCTGCAGCAAGAAATCGAATCACTGTATATTCAAAACGTAAGCGTTGAAAACTATATGTAATACATTGGAGGCGGACAAGCTGGTAAAGATTATTAAGTATGAAAGTTACATATGAAATGTACATATTTTTTGTATGACCTAATTGAATGTAATGTTTGTTTGTCTATGTATGTACGTATGTATGCATGTATTACAGTTTGGTATGCAATGTATGGATATCATGGATGTATGACACGCATGTATCTTATGGGTGATTGTTACCTATCTAAGTTATGTATGTATGTCATGTGTCTCATATATGTATGTATTTTTTAATTGTATGTTTTTTATATGTGTTATGTTTGTAGTGTATGTGATTTTGTGTATACTTATAATTAACAAAAGTTCTGTACCGTTTTTTGATAACAAACAAAAATTAAGTATTGGTTTTCGGAAAAAACTATGTATTGCAACAACTCATTTCAATTTGAGCATTTCAGAATCATTCCTTATGATTTTCTCGTTTAGCGCTAGACCGTACCAAAGCCAATGAGGGGAAGAATGCATACATCAGAGGCGTTAGCAGATTTTAAATTGAGTAGATGTTACCCATTTCCTTGAAGAACATCTTGGTTTCAAAATGGATTATCACAGAATCACAATGAAACAAAAAATTCAAAGAGCATCAAACTTAATAGAAATTTTTGCCTCGTTTGACGGACTTCATTTTCTGGAATTCTTTTCAAAGTTCTTCATAACTTTTTTTGGTAGAATGCTTTGCTCCATCTGCCGACAATTGAATTCGATCAGTATTCATATCATTCATAGTCACTCCATTGGTTCCTACTAATCGATAGCCGAGTGTTGTTAATAGCATTTCATTAAGCAATTTGCATTTTTCATAAGCGAAGCGTCGTTCGTGTCTTGGATGAAGTGATTTTAAAGATACTGGTAAATTGATTTAGGTAATTAAGTAAACGCACAATTTTCGTGTGCACATCTTCAACGTCCAATGATGGCTGCCCTTTCCGCTCACTTGATTAATTGTCCCCAAACCCAACGATTTTTGTTGGTACTGTTTCAGATCTGTACCCCGGATAATTTTCAGGACCTCTCTAGGCCTTGCGCTGCTTGATGATTACATATCGTTATTTTTTGAATACAGCTCACCAAGAATTAAGTCGCCGAAGACATCAACTGCATTGAATGTTTTCTCCTCCGGTTTTTCAGGCACTTAACACCCTCAAAGCTCAACATCCTTAAATATACAACTTCCGAGTCAAATCTTGGTGCCTGCTTTCTCTTTTAAGCTTGAGTTTCTTTGCCACTACTAATAGACTCCTGTATGCTCGACTCTTCAACTTGAATCTCACTTGTAGATTTTATTTCGACTTTTCGTTTGTAGATTGTTTTTCTATCGCTTGGATTAAAGGAAAATCTAAATCTACCATCGCTTCGTTTCCTGCATACAGAGGCTTTTTAGTCATCTTCCATTTATGGAGACTTTGCTTTTTTTGGCATGTCATCTTACCTCATTTTTTTCGCTTTCTTTTCTGAATTGCTCAGAGTTTTTGCCTATTTCATCAATAGTCTGTGCATCTTTCCACTCTCTCACAGTTTTTTTTGCTTTTCTTCGTATTGCTCCACTTGGTATTTAATAAGTCCATCGCAAAGTCGTCGCTGGTCTTTTCGCATGTGCTGGTTTTTTTCGTTCTTCCTTTCGTCGGGTAATTTCTGATCTGCTCGGATAATACCAATTTGTAGCCTCAAATCTTCAAAATATTCGGATATAAGGTCGGCTCGTATAACAATAGGTATACGATTGAATAACGACAATGATACGTTCAAGTTATACATAATATCTGGAAAATTAATACATCAAAAATCAAAGTGGAGGACTCAAACCCTTTCCTCGGTGACTCAACACTACCACTGGGGGTGGGGGGCTCTAACCTACATGTGGTGGCATCGAACCCACGCAATTCCGGGAATTGAACCCGTTCCCATTCTTTTTTATTTAAAAATCAATTTGATTAACTGCGTTGTAAGCTGAACTGACGTGACTTTCGAACTTCTTACGCATTCAAGAACTATCAAAAACACTTTCACTGCAATCTACAACACTCCGGGAAATTATTTAGCTATATCTTAAAAAAAATTTCATTGTGGCCGAAGTTGATCATTCACGCCAGCTGTTTCCGACTCAAATAAGTTTTAAGAAATCATTCGATAGATCTAGGCGATAGAATTCATTTCGTTAGGTGCCACGTAAAAATCACGATGCGGCCATTTTGAAACCAAATATTTGCAAAATTGATTGATTTGGCCATGCATGGCGATATTACAGCGGAATAGACCATAAAATTTATGAAAATAGAAATTTCATTCTTTTTTTTCGATTAACACATAGATACATACATACCTACGTACATACATACATACATACATACATACATACATACATACATACATACATACATACAAACAAACAAGCAACAAACATACCTACATACATAATGATACATACATACATATACACACACATACATACATAAATACATACATACATACATACATACATACATACATTCATACATACTTATATACATACATACCTGCATCTATACATACATACATGCGTACTTACATACATACATACATACATACATACATACACGCATACATGAATATGCACATACTTACATACATACATACATACATTTGTCATAAATATATACATAAGTACATAAATACATGCAAACAAACTTTCATACATACATTTGTACATACATAGATGCATACATACATCTGGACATAAATGCACTCATAGAAAATTAAATATATACAAACATACATGCATACATACATACATACATACATACTTTCATATATACTTACATACATACATTCATACATACATACATACTTACATACATACATACATAAATACATTCATAGATACTTACATAAAAAACATAATTAAATGCAAACATTCTTTAATACCTTCATAAGTTTTTAAAATAGGCTTTTTTCATGCTTATCTTGCAACATATCTTATTTAGGTAGCGCTAAGTCGCAGAAAATTTCTTCGATCGCGCGAAGTCGCAGCATACCCATTTTGAGTCGCAATGGTCGCAACATACCCGATTTTGGTCGCAACATAAATTGTTTTGTGTGACGGCCTTTATCTTGAAATAAGGGGGGTGGGGGTGGGGGCTAGAAAAGCCTAGTCTTCTGAACAAACTTCAGCACGTTCTCGGGGGACGTCTACAGCAGTTTTAAGTCCGGTTGATCGCCGAGTAAGTCCCCGGCCTCGACCCCGGGTGTTGGGTTGAAATACTGTAAATCATTCAGTATTCCCTCCTGACCAAGAACAATCAATCGGTCGCGTGGCAATGTATCTTTGTAGGAACTCAGTGGCCCCTTATTTCCAGGTTCCAAGATTTCTTGGACTTTGATAATTTTTTGGCGTGTACATTAACGTTGCATAATCACTGTCCGCATGTTGTTCAATGAGCTTTCAGCGTTCATCCAAGCTCAAGAGTCGTTTTACGTGGGAGCCTAAGAGAACTTGAAAGTTCATTACATCCAGTGATCTCGAGATTAAATAGATAAGTTATGTTTTTTTTTATGTCTATTTTTTTTGATAAAACATCTTAAAATCACACTAAGGAACATATTTATAGTACTAAATGCATAACTTGCGGAAGATACAGTAAGTTATCAAAAATAAATACAACTCTTAAAACTCATTGAAGTTTGCTTACCCAAAAAGGAAATGCGAACCTAATAATATCCATTTGAAATCGTTTTTTTTTCTAATTTATTTTGACAGTTTTTTATTCATTTCTTTTTTACAAGTGGTGCGAAACATCGTCATCGCCTTGGCACCTTATTTTGGGTCACTATTTTAAATACTATTTTGTACCGTATAAATAAGGAAGATCCATTTTTTAAATTCCGCTTTTGCTGAGCCGTGAATATTTTTTTGAATACCCGTGGTTAGTTTTGAAACTTGAAATTGCATAATCATGTAACGTTTAAATTTATCTGTAATAGTTTTTTTTCAGGCTCGTAGTTTGTATTCATTCAGTGCTTTTCCTATAATTATCATCAAATTTGTGTGTTTTCTATAATTAGCGTATATCACTTCATTTGCAGTATTTTATTAGCTAGATGTGATATTATTTTACAAACGCATCTTGTTTATTTAATGAGTATTTTTGAATTCAGAATAGAAAAGTTATTCTTTTCAAATATTATACTATTCAAGATTGATATAGACATATATATCGGTTCAGATCATTTATTGGTGAGGCAAAGTACAAAGTTATAAGAAGCAATACATGAAAGAATCGTTGCGAGAATGAAGCAAGCAACTTCTTGGTGTAATTTTGAAGCACTCGAAATTTCACCATCGCTCCCTGGCGAAATTTAATTCAAAGGGAAACAGTGTAATATAACTATTTAGAATATGTTTGGGCTCCTTTTTCGCTTTTTGCAGCTGCTCCATTCAGTTAATCTTGCGGTTATTAACATTGCGGCTTTTAATTTTTTATGGGAAGGCTGAAAAATTGAGACGAGTGAGCTGTTGAGAAGTGATAAATTGTTGTAACAATTGTTGCTGTTGATTGTTTTTCGTGAGTCACCGTGTGATATTTTCTTATTGTCTGAAGTTCTCTTCAGTGTGACAATGTTTGGTTCTACGACGGGTGGTGCAGCTACTGGGTCTCTATTCGGTATCAAACCAACAGGCACTGGCACTCTATTTGGAACTGGGACAGCTGCCTCCTCTTCCTCGTCGACAGGGGGGCTGTTCGGAGGGGGACTACAGAACACGGCTGCAACAGGACAGAAGAGTCTATTTGGCACCTCCACTGCAGGTATGCATGAACTACTGTCGTGTAGCACCACGTGGCAAGTCAAAAGAACGGATCAACCGCTAAGTTCAACAACCAGTTCTAATCATAAGTTGAACTGGGTCTTTTTACTTATTCCGTCCAAGTTTCTAATGAGATGGTACTGAACTCAACGAAACCAAGAAAAGCTCCAGATCAAATTTTAGAAAATAGTGAGATAGTAGCAGGGAAATAAGATAAGGCTATACTCATTTTTCGTACAGCTACCGTAAACAAACGACGGATTCCCTGGTGGCTGAAGCGATTGACCGTAATTACATTAGCCAATCAGAATTCAGTATTGGAAAATGTGAAAAGAATAAGCGCGCTTTGAGCAATGTAAAATATGAGGATTTTTTTTTCGACAAAATTATAAATTGGAAGACGTTTTGATGGTCTAGTTTAAATAACGAATCATAGAAACTTAATTTGAGCCAATATATTCAAAACTGAGCCAATTTTTCACAAAAGCACTATTTTTCATAGTCTTTCAAGTTTTGTTTCTTTTGAAATCTCTGAACTTGTTATTTTTTGCAGGAGTGTACGGCGGATAATTTCGAAAAACGCTCCTGAATAACCGCTTGAAAGTTTTTCGTAAGAGCGTTTTAAAAGACAAATTATAATAGAATGCAATTGTTTCTAAAAAAGAAACCGGCTCCCTGATCTTTTCTGATTTTGGGATTATGACTTCATTTTATTACGTAACTATTGCTTAAGTTCGGGTGTGTACACCATCGTGTGTTTCTACTAGAATAGAGTTTCGAGTTGCAAGCTAAAATATTTATCTTTTGGGCTACTGAAAATGATCCTTCGGATTAGTTTATGGTAGCGCTAGCTGCGTGTAAAATAGTTCCGATGTTTCTGGCATCTGTGTGCTTTATGATTTCAGGTGCTGCCACTAGCAGTTTATTTGGTACTCCAGCCTCTTCTGCGGGAGGAGGTCTGTTTGGAAGTGGTGCAACTGGAGGCGGTCTCTTCGGAAGCTCCACTTCGGGCACGGGAGGTATGGAAACTGTCATTACATATTTAAGATTTACATGGAAACTCATTACATAATTTAATTACGAGTGCCCTGTTAATTACGGAGCAACCAAAGATGTTTCGACTCTTAATCCAAATTACAGAAATGTACGAATTGTGGGCAAAAAATGGTGAAAATTTTACTAGCCGCGTACAGAGATACTTACCACCTTCGAAGTGAAGTTCTTTGTGGTAAGGAATGCAGAGAAACTACAAGTAGCGCAATTGTATGACTTGATTTGAATTTGCAACAATGGTTTAAGAAGAGGCATGTCATCTCCTCTGTGTAAGGGCTAAATTGACGTCTTGAAATTCTGGGGTGGCTGTTGAATGCATTTTTATCTCCAGGACTGTTCGGAGGAAGTGGTGGTGGTGGATTGTTCGGCAACAAGAGTGCCACAACTGGGTTTGGTGGTCTGGGTCAGACTAGTACATCCGGAGGTCTCTTCGGCTCATCTTCCTCAACTACTCTGGGAGGCTTTCAACAGACCAAACCAGTCGGCGGAGATCAGAATATGAACCAGCTAGTACGATAAATCTTAAAATATAATTTATTTCGTAGGTTCCGCTAATTAAATTCCACGGCTCCTCCCTGGTCTTTTTCCATAGTTCAAATTGAAAATAAGGGGTTCAATAGTGGTTCTACATAAAATGTTGAGCAGCTGGTTTGAGGATTCTTTCTCTTGCAAATAAACGGTCTTATGTATAAGATATTTTAAGTATTTCCTCAGTTAAATTTAATATGGTTTGGTGAAAATTAAAACGCTTGTAAAATGTTTCACTGGTTTTTTGAAGTAGATGTAAAAAATGTTAGATATTATTGATGAGTTCTCGCTTATACGGGAAAGTATTGCAGGTGTTGCACGCAGCAGTGTCCAACCCACAGCTGTTCGCTGATGAGCGCAATGCAGTGATTGCGGGATGGAACCAATTGCAGGCCAGTTGGGGATCCGGAAAGGCCTACTACGCACCGAACGCTCAGCCAGTGGAGATGACGGCTGAAAACCCCTTTTGCAGATTTAAAACTGTGTCCTACTGTAATTTACCATCCAGGTAAGACTCGTAAACTTGTTCATAAATAAGAATTATTGGCAAAACTATTTCAAGAGAGGAAAAGGCAGCTGACTTCTTTTCTATGCAGCTGACTTCTTTTCTTTTACGTTCTCTTCTATTAATATTCCAGGATGCTTCGCCCTTGAGCTGGAGGTAAATGAGTTGTTTTTGTACCTTAAGGTCCGGAGTTCGAGTCGTGGCCGGACTTTTTTCTTCAGTATCAGGGAAATTGAAAAAAAAATCCGAGAAAAATGAATTGTTTGTTTTCCGTTTTTGCTCTCGTTTTGTCGGCTAACTTGCCACAACGGGTTTTGCTTGTGCTGTAGACAATTTTCATTGTAGTTGCAAGTGCAAGTGTTTGGTGTTCATTCTAGTTTCAGGGAGGACTTGAAAGATTTTTTAAAATTTTTTCATAAAATATTTTTTTTCTGCTCAGTTGGTGTCGGCTTAGTTGCCACATCACTGATTTTTGTTGCTGTAAGTAACTTTCATTGTTATAGTTGCAAGTGCAAGTGCTGTTCATTCTACTTTCAAGGGGGACTTGAAAGATTTTTAAAAAAAGCAATTTTTTTTCGGTTCAAATGGTTTCAACTCAAAGATTGTTGGCTTTGTTGCGAAATCACATATTTTTCTTGTGCTGTAAACAACTTGTATTGTAGTTGCAAGTGTATATGTTGTCCATTGTTGTTTAGGACTTAAAACTTTTTTTCATAAAATCATATTTTTCGGCGCATTTGTGTCTGCTCAAAGATCGTCAGCTTTGTTTTTTTTGTAAACTTTGTTCCGGTGTTGCTGTTTTAAAATTAAAGTGTCTGGCATGTTTGCCTGGAATGAACTTCTATCGAGACATATGAAAGTTTATATAACCTAGTTTTTTTTCAAAAGTTTTCACTTTTTTCGGCTTTAAATGTTTTTTTAAATGTTTCTCGGTTCAGCCTGCATATGAGCTATGATCAATTTTACTATTTTTTATTCCGACGATTGAAAATGGGGAGAAACATTGTATTTGGGTGTTTTGTATTTTTTAATGCAAAATCAGGTCCCACAAATAATCATCGGATCGCGTCGAGAAATATACCAAATTGAAACCTTTCAGCCGTAATTTGACGCGCTTTAAAAATGCTCTAAAAGTTGACCCTGTGTCGAGAAAGATGATTTAGACTTTTAGGCTTAAACAACTAAATTTACTTTTAAAGAAACTCAATTTGGATGTTTGATTTGGTAATTAAAAAGAGCACTGTATTTGGAAACCCGAACGAACATAATATGATGTGATCACATTGAAAATGCATCAAATACATACCATTTTTTTTAGCTGCTTGAACCGAACCAACTTCAGATACCAAGTATTTCCTTTTAGCTGTAGAACAAAAGATTGAATTCACAGTTTTCAAGCCAGTTGCTTTTGAGAATATGAAAATACAAAAATTTTGAGAATACAAAAATTATTTTAAAATTTTTTATGAATATAGCCGGAACGATCTGTGCTGCTTGCACAGCAACCGGCTATCCTTGTAAGTCATTATACATCTATTTTAGGAAAGACGAGGACGGCGAGATCTGCATGGTGTTGAACAAGGCTGCCTCGGATCTGATCAGTCACCAGCAGCAGCTAATAGACACAATGTTTTCCAAGGTGTTCCAGAACAACCAGTCTGTATCCATCACCATCACCAGCACAAAACCCATCACAGACACACAGAGCGAAGTAGTGTTCTACGTACAGGAACGACTCGCCACAGGGTAAGACAATACTGCTGAGATATTTCTGATGAGTAATTATACTAAGCATTGCTTAATTGTCAGCACCCCCTCTCCGCGACATAAGTTCACTTCGAAGATCAACAGATCAACCACCGTATGAATATCGACTCTTCCAAATTTGGCGGTTATGGGAGTGTGAAAGAAGCCCCACCAATTTTTTATAGCATTAAAATTATTTTCGAGTTTTGGAAAAATCATCCGTTTTTGCACTAGCGATCAGCGTAATTTATTACTACGAATCTTCTTTCTTTTTTCTAACCTAATTCGCAAATGAAATTTTTCATTGAAAGTGGAAAATGTTCACTTATTTGGTGGCACTTTTGCTATAATCACGATCTAGAATCGGAAATTTCATAGCATCTGTTCTCTGCTTTATTTGCGGCTAGTGTTTATGATGTATTAAGCTTGCGTGGCTGAGTGGTTAGTGCGTGAGACTCATAAGCTCTAGGTCGCAATAGGTCTCATGATCGAATCCGAGACCTAGCCGAATATTTACTAATTCGAGGCTTATTTCTACTTTTTCTTATTGCACTTTATATAATTGATTTGTCGTGTTCTCGCTCGATTGAAATATATTAAAATGTATTTTGGGTTTAAAAAGTTTTAGCATGTACAATCTACCCCCTTAAATGGTCTACCGTAGAATGTACTCCCCAGCAATATAATAGTTATTAAAAAATAAATCAGCATAAAAGGTTCATTTCAAACAAGCGCGCAGAATATACTGCTCGAGAAAATTTCTATACTGAGTAGCTATTTTATCCTGTTGATAGCCTAAAATATTTATCATAATTTTGTATCGATGAATTTTTTGACTAATTAGGTCAATTTATTTTGCCCTCGACGTTAATTTGTGAAGAGCCGTTTTTTTTATAGCCGGTTTAATTTATATATTTTTAAAGCCGGTTTTATTGGTAGTACATTGAGGTAAATTTCAGAAAAGTCTTTTGACATTTGAGGATTTGTGTCTACCGTCAGGGGCGGATTTGGGAGGAGGGGCGGACGCCTCCCCCCCTCAGGGATTCGACCCCCTGCCGACCCAAAGGGTTCCCCTTCGGTACTTTTTAAGAAATCCATTTTTGGCCGACCGACCCTAAAATTTTTCTAAAGTCGCCTTTGGCGCCAATATATACTTATTTTGAGGGGGGATCGCGCGCCGAAAAAACGCAATTTTTTGGTCAAATTTTTCCAAAAAGTCCCTAAAAACGCCTTTTTTGGACTGTTTTTTCAAAATATTGCCTGCGGCGCAGAAAAATTGGCCAAAACAGGGACTAAACCGTCCTCAGGGAGAGCCCGAAAAATCAATTCGGTCGACCTAAAAAAAAGAAAAGGTCGACAAAATTTTTTGAAAATGCGCCCCCACCTCGAGAAAATCCTAGATCCGCCCCTGTCTACCGTAGTTTGTTTCTCCAACTATATCTTACATTAGTTAGCTTTAGCGAGCGTAGTGTCTTAATATGAACCTTCTTTTTTCCCAACTAACTCGCAAATAAAAGAACTCATTTGCTGGCACTTTTGCTATAATCACGATCTGTAGCATTGGAAATTTCATATCACCTGTTCTGTGCTTTGTTTATATGGTAGTGTTAGATGAAATTTAAGAGTCCTTGATCGAGTAGGTGCGACGTGAGTCTCTTGATTTGTAGGTCGTTGGTTCGACTCTGTCGCGTAGCTAATTTGAGGCGACTTTTTCTTATTTCACTTTATAGAACTTCGTTTTTGTCGTTTTCTCGCTAGTGTTTGCAAAGCGCAGCTTCAACTCTGCTTATTAAAATGTTTTGCAGCTACTCTCGACGCATTCCAGCTAGCAAGTTACACCAGTTTCTGCTGCAACCCACACAGAGCAGAGAGATGACGTCATCGATTGGTGTGCAGTCATTCAGACCGAACAAGACCATCAGTCAGCAAGACCTGGATCTGTACCTGGCCAATGCGCCTGCTGGTCTGGACAAGTTTCTCTGGCAACAAGTGAGGGTTGATTCAAGTAGACCGGATCCTCAATACGCTCACAGTTCAATGAGTTTCAAGAAGAAAATTTGATTATTTCAGACTAAAAACTTTAGTTCTTAATTGCTGTTATCTATAAATTACAAACTCGGCGTTGAGATGGCATTTGAATTTGCTATTTTTGTTTTTAATGATACTACATTTTGACATGGAAATACTGATTCTCTGAAGCCTTCCTTGGATTCACCTTATTTCCTATTGGCAAAGTATTTGTATGATGTTTGATTTGTTTTTCAGGCCATTGCCAACAATCCGGACCCTGAAAGACTTCTGCCAGTTCCAATTTTAGGATTCAAACAACTCCATCAGAGGTAGTTCTTGCAGTTTGATCTAATATCAAATTTGATTTCTAGGAAGCAGATTTATTCTGAAGATTTGTTTTGCAGTTGATGGATCCTTAAAGAAAGAAAATGTAAATGTTGGTAAGAAAGGCGTCTAAGAAGCTCTCTCACGGAAGATTACCAAGAGAATTGTAATAGATCTTTTGGATTCTTCTTGAATCTGAGTGTAAATGCACAAGGAACTTGGATCTTTTCCAGTCCCCCTTCAATTTTCTGAAGTTTTTCAAGCGAAAGCAAATTTAGTATAACGTTTGAAGTATATTGAAAACTACAATATAACTTAAGTGTGAATAAGTTAACAGTTTTTTTTGCATTTCCCTCTTTACAGGTTGAGCCAACAGGTGCAAATGAACACTCAGCAGAAAGCACGTGTAGCCTCAATGCACTCAGAACTGAAGGACTTGAAAAAACGACAAGCTCTGAGTCAGGCTAAACTGGAGGAACACAAACAGAAATCGATGCTATTGGGACACAAACTGTTGGTGTGTATTGGACTGATTGAGAGAGCGAGGAAGTTAGGATACCCTCTGCAAGACGATGAGAGTCATTTGTACAGACAGCTGGAGATTATTTATGACCAGCTGGCCCAGCCGACTAAACTGAAAAGCCAGCTGTCAGAATTGGTATCACAGGTGATTTATTTTCAGCTATTTTTCTGTTACACACAGTTGAGAGAATAGGATAGACGAGGTTGAATTATAAAGAGCAATGAGTTTCTCGAGGATTTTCTTGAGCGGAGGCACTTGAAAAAATTGAAACTTAGGCTCACCAAATTGTTTTCTCAGCTCTTCTTAAGTTCTTTAACGACATATTGTGCCAATTTTTCTGCGAAGCAAGCAGGCAATTTGAAAAAAAAGAGGCGAAAATATACATTGAATCAGGTGTGAGTTGAGTCAGGTTGAGGCGGGTGTGAAGTTTTTCTACGCAGATTTAATATGTTCCAAGCAAGTTGAATTCAAATTGAAAGCAAATTCGGATTCTTTTTATGAACATAAATTCAATATTGAATTCTAGCCGTCCTCCGTATGAATTTGTCAGTTTTGAGGCAATATCTGGTCTGTTTATTAAAAAAAAACTTCATGGCACTTCTGTTTATAAAACTTATAAAAAAACTTGTGTCAATAAAAAAGTTTCACAACTTATGGGACGAACACTAAAAATACTATTTCTTAAATTACACGTTCAACTCAGCAGTTTCGAGACAATTTTGCTGCGTTTCAGGCTAGATTAGGTGGTGGTGCTATTTTGCGATCATCATCAATGGCCAACGACCAGAGCTACCAGATCTCAGCCGAGCATAAAAAAGAACTGGCCCAATTTTTGAAGCAACAGCAGGAGGGAATTGCGAATCTAGTCCAGATGGTGAAAAATACAACTGAAGAACTGAAAGTAATTCAAAACAATTTGAACCCTGTCTCTTAAAAATGTTTGTTTCTAATTTATGCTTCATTTTTGATTGTGTATGACTGATTTTTGATTTTGACTTTTTTGCGATTTTGGCTATGTAGAAATTAAGCATTTAAAATTACTCTTTGAAGCGGAGGTAAGAGGAGAGTAGTATATGTTGAAGCGGACCGAGGGCAGGGGGTCTGCTACCAAAAACTTAACAAAAAAATTGTACTACAAAAATAACGGGGTAGATAATGACTTTTTCAACAAAATGCAAATACTTTTGCAAGAGTAGGGGAGCCATTCTCGCTCAGTACTACCATCTGTGCCTCGGCATTTTTCTTGCCTATTTTTCTAGCCTATGGCTGCGCCTTGTTTTATCTTTTATGTGGACCGCACAAAACTTCGCGATAGCCGGTATTTGATGGTCGCCCTGTATGTATTTGAACTTAGAACGTTCCAAATATCATCTAAAGTTGAAATAAGGTGCCAAAAATATTAACAGTGAAAAGAACAAATATCTAAGCTAAAAAATATTTCGCGAGATCAACGAGAATGAAGATTTAAGACGTTTGTCAGTAAGTGAGTTCTCGCATTAGCTTCACCATGTGCGCTTTCTGCATTTTACTCATGCCCACTGAAGGTTGAATTCGATTTGGAGATATAGGCTGGTCTGATGCGAGAATGTGGGGAAGATACTTCTGGTTGATTTGCCTGAGGGATTTTGCCTGGCTTCTGCCAGAGAGATCCAATAATTGAACTGAGTTGGTCTGAGTGAATGATTCTCTCATTGTGTTGTTCGTTTTCAGTCTGAAAAATCCAAAACAGCTGGAATTTGACAATTCATTGAAAAATTAACACGATGAGCCTAATTCATGTGATTATAGCTTCGGTTGTTGCTAAAGTTTTTCAAATAAACATGTATTCAAGCTGAGCTCATTTTACAATGCAGGACACATATTTAAATCATTTTTTATCAAATATTCTTTTGCTGCTTTTTGATTGCTCCTTTTTTGCCTTATATAGAATGGTGACTACAAGTTTATAGAAAATTAGCGGCTCAAAGCTCTGTATTATTTGAGTATTTCACGAATTGAAGGGATGGAACTATTGCGTAGCTTGATTTTTTCCTCCCGATTTTGACTACCGCAATGAAAACTTGCAGAGGGCAAGTCTATGTGGTATCATAATATAGGTCTGTCGTTGTAAATTAGATGCAAAAAAAATCAACTAAAAATCTCTCGAGAAAAAATAAACTTAAATTTGAGAACAATTAGTCTGAACTTCTCAGTGATTCAGACTAAATGATACGATATTTACGAATGACACGCGATAACAGACTGCAATTTGATTTAATTGCAACATCAGAGTTGTTTTGGTGATTATTATTCTGTTGCAATTTTTCACTTAATTCAATTGTCTTTTCAATAAAAAAGGGATAGATAGTCTGTCTAGCCAGAAAAAAATTTCAAAATTCAGAGTTTTTAAATTTTTTCGGATTTGTTTTTCTTACTACTCAATTGTCGAAGTTTTTTTATTCAAGAAATTTTTTGTGTCTAAAAAACGAGCTGGGGATCATATTTTGTAGGAATTAGTAGGAATTTGCGTTTTTTTCACTTAACTCATTATTAAAAAGGTTCATTCGGGGGAACTTTTGCTTTATTCACGATCTGCTGGAGCATAGGAAATTTCAAGGCAGCTGTTATCTGCTTTATTGGTGACTAATATGTCGTTAAACAAGCGTCCGTGGTTGAAAAGGGTTGACCTCTTTTCCACCTTTTCTTATTTCATTTTTTAGTATGTTTTTTGTTGTAGCGCTTGTGTTGGCAAAGCACAGCGTTGCTTCTGGGTTTTTTTTCCTAGTACGCTTTTTACTGTAGTTTCTGGCTCACTTTTATTAGCATTTTGCTGCAGAGCTTAGCAACTTTTTAGCGTGTGTTGTATCCATTTTTTTGGTGGCTAATAGAAGGAAGAAACGGAGAGTTGGAGGCTAGGGTCTGTTGATACTGACTCTGAATCAGGAGATGTGAGGGACAACTCCTGCGCGACATAATTTTGTTGCATTCAAAATTCCCGTTTGTCATGTTTCCGCTTGCGACTAAAAACGCAGTTTACTCTCTCTAAATTGTTGCGATCGGAACAGTCTGTACTACTTCCACAGTAACCGGCCTTCCATGATCGCAATTATAACCTTGAACGCAAAAAAAAACAATTTCACTCGAGCTTGTGAACTACTTGCGAATTTGTTTATCAGACTAAAAACGTTGCGTAAAAAGTGGAGATGCGAAGTCTTGCTAGGCTACTGTAAATCATGGGGTACCATAAGGTACAGTGCTTGATCCAATAGTTTCAATATTGAAAGTTAACTATTTTCGGAGTGACGTCCAAACCGTTCAATTTGCAACTGTTACCTCTTTAAGTTTTTTCGTCGATAGACCTGCCTGTTTTAAATTTTACATATAAAATAATTGAAAGTCTGTATCCCTATATTTATCCGAGAAAGAACTCATGATTAATGCAAAAAAAAGGATAATCATTTTCGACAAACACTCAGAATCATTTGTTTCTATTTTTTCAAAAGGAGGAATTGAAAACCAAAGACTCGACATATTACATTGGCATCAAATTTGATAAAAACTTCAGTTGTATGAAGAAAATTAACAAGTGTCATAGCAAAATTGCTTGTAGAGTTATGTCAATTTTCATCTTACGGCATGAAATGCCGTTAATGTCCCGTAATATTTTATTGAAATTCATAGTTTTGTCCCATCTTAAAAATAGTGGAAAATTTCACAGAACATTACAGCAAAAAATGGACCATTCGAATCGGCAATTAAACTGGGGTCTAAACGTCCGCTTCGTGAGAAAAAATTTGACAGATGTCATGATCTATTTTTAAAAAAGACAATACATCCTGCATTTATGATCATAATAAAGTTTTGTTTGCTGAAGAGTTTTGATCTGTTTGATCAAAACACATGTCCCTTGATTAAAAAAAAAACAATAAATGACATTAAGCAACAGTTTGAGAAAAGTAAGCACTGGACAGGTTTATGGAAAGTCCTCATCAAATTTTTCGATTACTAGAGATGCGCCAAAAAACGGATTGGCTCACTTAACAACTAAAGAAAAATAAAAGAAATTCACAGCATGAACTCGAAATTAATAAGTTTTTAGTTCATTTAAATGAACAAGTACCAGCTAAACAAAAACTTTGGGTGTTTCGTATCCCATATGTCCATTTATCTCTCACATTTATCTTAATGTTGTTTAATTATAATATTGCGTAGAAGCCAGTTTCGATTGAATCAATTTTATTTATTCATTGATAAAAAAGAATGATACAGCATGTGTTCTATAATATCCGGGTCATATTAGCAAATTTACAGGTTTGTCAAAAAAAACTATATTTTCGAATAGTTTGATCTCAGTGCAATTATTATACGCGCGCAGATTTTTTTCTACTTTTTATAAAAAAAACTTCATCTTTTTGACAAAAGCTGTTATCTTTTGTTATTTTTGTCAAAAACTTTTATCTATCTGTGCTGATTTTTTAAATCAAATTTACGTATTTGTTCTCATGTGCAAAATGACAGTTTGCATTATAACATCGACAGGTTAAACAAAACTAGCAGTCAAAAACTCGTAAAGAAGTCACAATATATAGGAAATCACAATATTTTGTCTTTATTCTTTTACACTAGGAAAAAAGTTGATGTTTTCACTTCAACTCGGGAAACGATTGGAACGGCTTTACATGATATCCTACTAGAGTCTTTTCCTTTTCATCGCGTCACGCGATTCTATTACTTTGGAAGGAACAGTTTAACATGAACTAAGTTAAGAACCTAAATTTCCGCTGCTTCTGAAGTTGTGAAATATGATTGGTTGAGCGTTTACTGGGGTATTTTACGGCTATTGAATTTTTGTGACAAAATTCCATTTAAAAAAAATTAGAAAAACGTACACAATTAAAATGTTATTGATAAGTTATATTTGCTTAAAATGTACTTATTATTTGATTGATAACGTTGTGAAACTCTTGACTCTGTATGTTGTTTTCTTTGTGTACATGAAAGGTTGTGTACTTTTTTTTCTTACTTATTGGATGGCTTTGATGGCTTTCTACAAATCCAATAATTGTCCTTCAATCCTGAGAGAATGAAAAAACAGTTCGACCGAAAATCCATAGTCGAGAAGGCTCTGTAGTCGAGCTCAAAGTCGAAACTTAAAGTCGAGTCGGTCAAAACATAAAGTCGAAAACAAAGTGGAAATAGCAAGTTATAACTTTATCACAGCAGATTTTTAGTATTTTTTTGTAAAAGTGGCAAGTTAAGTGGTTCTTGTTTTTTTTTTGCTTCAAATGGGGCTTAGCTTTTAAAAGCATTTTGAAGGTGCCTTAGACATCATTTAAAAAAAAATTGGAGCAGTTTTTATATAATCCAAGGCTGTATAGCAATGCAAATGTATTTAAAAATAGCCAATTGAAAATAACTCACGTGACAAGTTTGACAGGTTGAATAGAAGGTAACGGATTTTCTTTTTTATGGGGTCTGGACCTCAGAACTTTTGGCATATCTGAGCTTGTTAATCGAGGTAATTCTTCATGCTTCGACTCTAGATTGCTTGCGGTATTTCCGATGTTTAGTGTATGTATTCCTGCTCCGCGAACTATTCCTACATTTTTGCTTTTTCTAGCAGGAAAATTTTGCGCTCGGAATGATTCGTTTTCTTGCGTATCCGAAACATCATCAAGCATTTTTTTGTCGTATAGATTTAATTGCAGGTCAGATTCATTCGCAGTTTTTGACCGAGTTAGTTTTGCAAATTTAGGAAGTTTTTCTTTTTTGGGTTTCTCGACGAATGAGACGCGGTTTAATTCGGGAACTGTCTTGAGTCTCGTCAGCACCAAATCCTAAAAAACAAAACCAGATTCGAGAAACCGAATAATTTTTTCATGTGTATATTTCGGGTGCCAGTGTAGTATTTGATCTGCTGTAATATTGTACTAGTATTTTTGTTCTGATAATGATCCAGAGAGTAAATAAACCAGCTGAAAATGAGCCCTCAGCCAGCCGAGAAGTTACATGGTATGAATGAAAATGCTTTCGTAACTGTAACAAAATTGTTATATAACACTTACATAACTATTATACAACACTTACTTATTTTCTGCTAGTTGGTACTTCAGCTAGTTTATACTTCGGCTGGTTTTTATACCATTAATGATCCATTTGGATCAAAAATTATTATTTTTTGCTAATGCTTACATTATTTTGAGCTCTGCAATAGGTAAAAGTTCAAACTCAACGAGATGTTTATTTAAATTGTCTTGATACTGGTCTCCTTATGGTTTTGACAACATACGGTACAAAATCAATAGAACAAAATTAAATCGAATAAGGAATATAAATCAGCCTGTGTTTCTCCAATAAACCTTGCTTGTGAAAAAAAGCAACAAAAAGATTAGACGTTGACGTTCCTAATTGAACAGTCTTATTTAGAGTTACCCGCGCATTTATGGTTAAATATCGTGATCTTAAATGAATAACCGAAGCTGAAAAATCCCGCATTTTTTTAATGTAGCAGTTTGTAAGACATTGACTTAACAATAGTGTGAAATCAAATTGAAATATTGAAGATTGAAACAAGAGTTCAAATAAAGTCTATATAACTAAGATAACCCCTATTTTCATAGTAGATACAGGTATTTGCTAAGTGCGGTACGGAGGTACCACCCCCAATTACTGAAGAAAATCAGGAAAACCAAACCCAGTTGCCGTACCCCACTGCCCCTCACCCATCATCTATTCTGTCATTTGGCGCTAAACAAATCCTAGACACCAACCCACCATCTGCAGCTAGTTTCAAACAAAAAGAAAAACCTGTCGTTTTTGCTACATCAACTTTGTCTTTCTTGAAGCATTTACTTTAAGACTCAAGTACCAAACCGTTCGAGTACGAGCAATAAGATGATTTTTGAAAAACTTTGTTGCGCAGTCATTGTGCATAATTTTTGGTAAATAACACAAAATTATAACCCCTGCTTCACTTTGGAACAATTTTTCGAATGTAATGGTTCACTCGGAAAGCTCACTTGATATGGCTGAACTTTTTTGCAATAAAAGCTAGATCAGATGCAAAGCACTAGGCATAACGAAATGCCTCAGGGACAAAAGTCACCCAGACCAAGTGTCAGAAACTCAACAACCAGCAAGGAGCAGTAGATGCAACAGTTCTATACATTTCACTGGAATTGTTCAGCCGTGACTCAGTTCACTTTTACGACTCAACCGTCACCCAGTTAACACTAACTTATCCGATGCACATCGGATAAGTCAGGGATTACGATCTTTCAGCGCACAATTACTGCCGGTGACAGGTGGTTTTTTTGCCAATTTCGGCATTTTCATTGATCCTGGGCGCTTGTCCGGAAAATTATCAAATTTATGACACAATCTCATTACACTCCAACTCACGAAAAAAAAAAAAAACTTTTTTATTAATTTCAAGTGTAACAGCACAGCGGCCATCATCATTTTTCAGACAAATCACCACAACAATCGTTGGGCGTCCAATGCAACCCTCAAGGGCCATCCAATTTTCTTCGGGAGAGCAGTTCAAAGTAACTTCAATCAGTCAATCAACAGTTTGAAAATAAAATGACCCCAGTCTTTAGCTCACAAATTATTAGAAGTTTGTTACATATGTGTTTGACCGCGAATAACTCAGCAGAATTTCAACCCAATAGGTTCATCTTGCAATCTCCTTCTTGCTCGCCAAGTGTAAATGCATTGTTTTGCTAACACAACAAGCCGTCAATATGCATCACTACACTACCACACAAACGTTTTTGTCAGAACGATGGCGTTACAGAATAGCGATAGACAGCAACAAGCAACTAGCATACCTTTTGCACTCAGTAACAACTCAGTAGCATCTTGGTTCATCAACCTATAGCAGTGCAAACACCTGGAAACATTAATTATACTACTCAACCTACAGCGAAATTATAAGGAAACTAAAACACTTAGTGTCTTAATCGTTCGGTTAAACTGCCATTATCCAAATAGAGAAGTTCGGCGGAGACCCCTTAAAATGGATTGAAGGGAATAGCGTGTCCACAACTGCGGTTCAGAGCAATCAAAACATCACAAACAACAAAAAGTGAGCTAATTACAAACACTACTAGCAAGATTGACTAGAGAAGCCATTTCGAGAATATCTTAAGAACGTTATTTTTAAAATTCAGTTTTTCACGAACTCGACCGAAGATTTGGAGAACCCCAACATGTTCAGGGCGCTTCATTAAAAAATTTCAGCAGATCCTTCAATTAACTGTCTCGGCAGATCCTCGGCAGATCCTTCAATTAACTGATCACACCGTAATGATCAGCAACGCGGCTTTTATCAGAAAAATTATTTAAAAATTTCTGCGCACCAGGGATTAACGCTGTCCTAAATGATCTAAATGTTGTAAACGCTCGAGCCAGAGATCAGTTACAATTTCTGCGAAATGTGAATGGGAATGTTTATCTGATTGATAAAAATATAGCTTTCCGGGGCCTAAAGATTTGTCATAGTGGATGAATAGACAGGCACGTGCCTCTGAACTTTTAAAACACACCATAAAATAACAAATCGTTATCGCTCCGGCAAACGACAGATAATTTCCCAAAGCAATCCGTCGACAAATAAATCGCAGAAAAAAAATTCAAAAATAACTTCATTCAAACAAAAAGGAAGCATCCAATTTTGAGTAGTAACGTCGTACAAGCACTAAAAAGTTCAAATCAAATCCAGCCAGATCGTCACAATTTTTGCGAAGAAAAATTAAAATTAAGCCTTTGGTTCAGCAGGATCATTAAATAGGAAAACATTCATATTTCGAAAAACAATCTTTCAGTTAATCAAAGAATAGAAGTAAAAAACAATCTTTGCTCTAAATGTCTCAAGGGGAACCATGCAATGACCAACAAAACTATGCTCCTTAAATCACTGAAAAACGCTTTAATTGAAATGCAGGCTCCTATAACATGTGCAAAGGCCTTTCCATCACTGATACAAAACTTCATATGCACTACCTACACATAGCCTTAACTTTCTCACTGCAGCTGAGAAAGTTAACGCTGCGAGAAAACAAAGAACTCTATCTGTAGCAGCAGCTTTTGAGGTCTCATCAAAGAAGCAAATTTAGTCAGTACAGAAGTACGACGTTACGACATCAGCAAACATCAGCAAATTCGACCGGAGATTTGATAAAATCCAACATGTTGTGAGCGCTTCAAAAAAATTGAGTTCCAGCAAATTTTTCAATCAAATGATCACATGATTGTGATCAGCTACGCCAGTTTTCTAAAAATTTATTTAGATTTTTCAGCGCACAAGGAATGAAAGTTTTTCTAAATGATAACCCGAGATCAGTTGAATGCAATTTCTGCGGAATGTGCATTGGAATGATTATCTGATTGACAAAAACATAACTTAAGGGGACCCGAAGATTTGTCATAGTAGATGGATGGACCGGCAAATACCACTGCACACTCTGAATTGAAGAAACTTTTATCCCTTCGGCTAACCAAAACCATTTCCACCAAACAATCAACCGACAAGCAATTCACTGGAAAATGTTTCCTAAAAACCAGTTAATTTAACAGCCAAAAAATAAGAAAACATCAGACTTTAAGTATGAAAATTGTACTAGCACCAAAAACTTCAAAACAAAGCAGGCGTCATTGTCACAGTTTTTGCGAAGAAATATTAAACTTGATCCTTTGGATCAGGAAGATCATTTGATTGGAAAATATCATCTATTTTTTGAAAAACAATCAATCAGGTAATCAACGAATAGAATTTAAAAAAAACAATCCTTGATGTAAATGTCTTAGTGGAAACTGTTCGTCAAAACAAGGCTTGTCCAGAAATTTTTGCCAGCCTCACAATTGCCAAAATTTTTCATTGTTTCTTGATTACAGCTTCATTCGAACGGAAGCAACCATGCTAAAACCAACAAAATTCTACTCAGTAAGTCACTTGAAAACGCTTTTTATTGAAGTGCAAGCCCCTATAACATGTACAAAGGCCTTTCCATTACAGATTAAAAAAATCATATGCGCTACACACATATAGCGTAAGCTTTCTCACAGCAGCAGAGAAAGTTAATGCTGCAAGAATTCAAAGAGTTTTATCTGCAGCAACAGCTCATGAGGACTCAACATTGAAGCAATTCTATTCTGTTTAGACGTAGCACTTTACGACATCAGCGGTTTTCGTTCCGTTTGAACTAGGAACTACGCTACTCCATCAAAAACTGGCCTTTCTGTGTCGCTTTTGTCATAATTTAACCAAATTAGTGCAATGTGTCTTCATCTACAGCATGTTTGATTTCTCGCAAGTACTAAACACCAGAATTCAGTTTTTTCAAGGTATTGACGCGATGCCCTACATCATTGGAGATGAAATTTTGCAAGGGCCTCAGAGTAGACTTTTGCAATACCTTCAAGGTGGGACAATTACTGAGCCAATCAAGAAACAACCACAGAATGAACCCAAGAAAAACTTTATTTTTGCTTAGCTACAATCAATTTGACCGAACCAGGACATTAGCACCCTTGAATAATAATCGAGAAACTGCAGCTTTGGTTGCAAACTTCCGCTCTCTAGTACGAAGGATTTTAAAAGCGAGCACCTTAAATAGTTTTCTGTTGGTGAAAAACGGGCGTACAAGTCTCTTCACGAAATCATACGACATAGATGACTGTTACGGCTATGGCTTTTTGTGGAATGATAATGTCAAAAAACCAAACAATTACAACTAGGCTTAAACACAACTTCCAAGCTTCGAAAAACGATCGGAACAATTTGCACAGCTTTCAGAGGTTAACCACAAAACTCAAAAACAAAATGTTGAAAAAAACTACATTACGCGTCGTCATCCTTCGCGCGTAATGTAGTTATGGTACCTTCCTCTTCATCCCGTCTCTGTTTCAAACAAAACTGGAAAAGTTCGAATCAGTATCAATGTTCAGTATGTTCAGTCTTACGCAGTATCAATGTTCAAGGAATCTCCCTCAACATAACCTGATCGTATAGTATAGCAAGGTCAAGTGAATTAAAGACCACTTGAGGTAATTTAACGCTCTCCGTTGTTAGGCACGAATAATCCCCAAACCTTTTTCCAGTGAGGGTGGCCGCCATGGTTGGACAATCTGAAGTAATCTTCCTGCATTTATGGTTAAATATCGTTATCATGATCGAACAATTTGTCTGAACATTTCCCACATTTTAATGTAACAATTTGTAAATCATTGACGTAACAATAGTGTGAAATCGAGCTAAATTCGAATGACAATTGCAACAGTAATTAAAAAACAAGGCTGTACCACTAAAGCAGTCCCTCACCGCCTGTGAAAACAAGTGTTGGATAGGTACGAGTCTACATAAAAAGATATACAGTTTTTCATTAATTTTTTTATCCGAAATGTTCAGGTAACTTTAAATACAACAATCTTAGAAAAAACGGAACCTGAACCAGTTTACTACCAGAAAAACATACAGTGAAAAATTCAAAATAGGAAAAGGAAAAAAGGCATAAGTTTTCTTTTCCT